CTGAGAATACAAGTTATTTTGAAAGTGAGTATCAACAATAAAGCTGGTGAATTCATAAGTATTTATGTGTCTTTGATTTGTAAAATTGTAAAGTAAAGACTTGTAAATATTTGGAGAAAAGTTTGTATAAGTATGAAAATGTTTGTAAGTAATTGTAAACGTTTGAAAACCCTAGAAAATCATATATTTCCTACTAGTATAAAAAGTAGTCTTCTACCAAGACTCGACTGTTTTTAAAAGTAGCCTTCTACCAGGACCCGACTGTTTTGAAAGTAGCCTTCTACCAAGACCCAACTGTTTTGAAAGTTTGAACCTTTACTTAAGTGAAGGTTTTTCCTTGTACCACTATTATTATTCAAATCTATTCTACCTCATCGATTATGTGAATATGACACATAGTAAAGGTAATAATAATATATTAACTGGAATTTTATCCTTCTGTAATTGTCGTATGTAAAGTGTAAGTACTGTAGTATTTGTAATAAGTGACTACTATTGTAATAATTGCCTTAATTAAGGGTTAAGGCATAATGTGATGGCTAGATCCCATACTAAACGCTCCCCTGCCAAGAGATTCTGGGAACCAAACGCGACCCCTGCAATGATTGCAAGCCGTGAACATCCACATTATTATGATCATGTATACCCAATATAACTATCACCTTTTGTTTAAAACAATGCGTTAGTGATTCATTAGTATAGTTAGATCATGTAATTGTTCCATGCTATAGCACCTTATTATGTTTGTTCTGTTATCGTGTATTGTATCTTCCTCCCTGTTTCCTTTTATTGTGTATTCTCTTATGTTATCGTGTATTGTAATTGTATTTCCGTAATTGTGTCTCTTCATATAGTATATATTGTATTAGTATAGACTCATGAATGAACTGACTCTTGTGTGATTCCTTGTACTTGGAATAGTAAGTAATATCTCCTAACTATACCTATTATAGTTACTAGTAATGTACGTGTATAACCGGAAGTATGTCTTTGCTACTCAAAGGTACTAAACTAACTGATGGAACTTTTATGTCTATATATGTATATATGATATATAACTAATATTTAGACGACATTCAGACGAATAACCGATGCCCTAAGGCCACATCCCAACGAGGAAAAGGAAATAAAGCGAGCTAGCCGTCCTAAGTCCTTTAAACATTACTTATATAACTATACATATATGGGCATGCATTTGACAATATAAAAGTATAAAAAAAGTTTTGTAAAACCTTTGAAAATTTTACTAACTAAGAAAATGATGACTTGATGTCAGTTTATAAAACGATTTGTAAGTAGTTTGTTTGATAAGACGGTTTTAAGTATAAGGAAAACCTTTGTTTGAAGCACATTTGTAACAGAGTTTGAAAGGAAACATACAGTATGTAAGACAGTTTGATAAAGAGTTTTAACATGCAAAAACGGTTGAGAAAGTCATTCGAAGTAAATAAGTTTGGTAAAACAGTTAAACGTATAGTAAATCCATTTGTATGCTAGTTATTAATCGCATGTGATTGATATAATAACTAGCATGATTCAACTTGTACTCCCCCCCCCCCCAAAAGCATTTATAAACATTTAAATACATTTAAAAGGTTAATTAAGGGGTATGAACTCACCTGCAATGAGTGGATCGGATGGAAGTGTCGGACAAGTGCTTGGTGTCAAGTGAAGACTTAAACACACACAATGATCCTAATAACATATAAAGACATATGTATATATACAATTAGTGATTATAACACTAATTAGACAAGTATAAACAGTCTAAGGCATGGAAAACACTTTGGTCAAAGTGTTAGGAGGACATTGGGTTGCAACAAAGGAGTGAAAGGCATTGTAAGTGAGTTTATGGTCCATAGACCATACTTGTTGGAGTTTACGGCCCAGGGGAGTTTATTCCTGGCCGTAAACTCTCAAACGAGTCACCAAATGAGGCTTAAAGGTAAGGTATCTATTGTGGTTAAGTGTTTCAAGGCTTAAACAAGAGGCTAGGTGAGTTTAAGATCCAAGAATGGCCCTTATATGTGTTTACGGCCTGGGGACCACTTCCCTATGAGTTTATGGCCATAAATTCATGGTATGAAGTACCGTTTCGTGTCTTGAAGTCCCTAGTTCAATAGTGTAAGGTTCTATACTAAGTTCCAAGGCTTGATAAGGTGTTAGGGTGCATTTTGCCCCACTAAAAGGGGTTTACGGCCCAAGAACATGTCTTGGTCGTAAACTCGTTGGATCATGTGATTCTTTATGTTTTCTAAGCCCTAAACATGTTAAACCTAGTGTACAACGAGTTGGAACAAGAGTACTTACGATCTAGGAGCTTGAATGGTCGATTTTGGCCAAGAACACTAGTGTGTGTTCTTGGTGAAACTTGAAGATCTACAAAATGGAATGATTTCACGGATG